TATATTTTGTGTAACATATGTGTTTGAATTATGATATGGACTGTTTTTTTTTTTTTACAATATAGGCTTGGATGTATGAGGTCATCCCTGTTTTCGCTAAAGGGGGGGGGGGGGGGGGGGGGGGGGAGGGTTCAACAGTTTGGATGTGCAACAGTAATTTCCTAGGATGTTGCGGTGGCATGTCCAGAGGGTACACCCATTCGGATTACGAGCAAATAGACGTTGAGATTCAAGCGGTTGGGGTAAGATTAAAGGACTAAGCTTTTGCATATGCAATTGCTTTAAAATGTCGCTTTAATCTGATTGATTTTGTTTCTTATTGTAGGGACTCGTCCGTCCCTTTCTCACCGCTACTGGGGTTGAAGTGGAAGAGGACTATGTCAAATCTTTCAATGCACTGGAGGATGCAAGCGATGAACGGATAGACCGCCTGATGCGGGACCTAGAAGGGGTCACACATGTGATGGCAGTTGCAGGGCCACTGCTTCACAACGTGGTTGATGCCGAGGAGGATGAAGCTCCAATAGGTCGGAGGTCCGAGGCGGAGGAGGAGAAGAGGGAGGAAGAGGTTCGTATGCCTCAGCAAACCGGTATAACAAGTACCACTTTGCCGAGACATCAGCATCGAGAGAATGAGGTTGTTGACCTCATAAACGGCTTGTTTGAGAGTTTTACAACAGTCATTTATGCAAGGTTTGACAAGATGGAAGAGTGCATGAAAATGGTGGAGGAGAAAGTGGATAAGCTGGGAGAGAAGGTTGGTACAGTGGAGGAGGAAGTTGGTGGAGAATTAAAGGCGGTTGAAGTGCAAACTGGCTTGAAAAGAGAGAGTCGGAAGAGCAAGTTTGTGAAATCACCTTACGTGGCAGTGACACAGGGAAAGAAGAAGAAAATTAAGAAACAAATGGAGGAAGAACCAGAAATACAGGAGGTTGAGGAGGTTGGTGGAGGAAGTGGGGCGGTCATAATGGAGAGGGCGAGGTGGGAGGCGAAGGAAGCGAGGATGTAAAAATGGAGGAAGCGGGAGGAAGTGGGCAAGGGAAATTGCAGTCAAATGTCGATTTGTATAGGCCAATAGAGGAAAAGAAAAAACTCTTTCATGCCTATTACAATGGATCAGGAAGTAATGGCTATATAAATTGTAAGACAGAGGATTATCCCCGGGAATGGTTTAGGAAGTTGTTGACGATGGGCACGTGGCTTGAGGACTTGGTGAGTTATTTTTGCTTAATTTTCCTTATTTTTGCCTATTCCATACTTATCTTGTTGTTTTTATTTGATGCAGCACATCATGAGATATTGGCACTGATGAGGCTACGACAGACTATTGCTGGTGATCTGTTGTATCCCGACTGTGCCATCACTGATGTGGCGTTTGGCCAAAGGCTTGGTTCGGCATATCGCACTTTACTTAAAAATGTCGTTGCTAGTGGTGCAATAAAAGGACCGAAGCGAAAAAGATTGGCCCCGGTACAATTGGACTGCATCCCTGATGATTTTCATTTTGATGACAGAATTATGCAGTATATACGGGGGGATCAGCCCAAATATGGCCACAGTTGGGCCTTTGTTAAAAGAGTGTACTGCATCATCCTCGTCAAAGAGATGCACTGGATAGCAGTCGTTGCGCATCTAGAGCAGGGGTTGCTGAAGATCCTTGACTGCAACCACACTATTTGTCGAGACAAGCAGTTGCAGGTGGAGTTGGAGCCATTGTCCAGGTTGTTCCGTGACTGTTGCATGACAGCGGGATGTTTGGGCACTTGGGTGATGAAGTACTAACCGAAAAGTGGCCAATTAAGTGCTCTACCGGCCCAATAAACGAGTCAAGGTAACTTCTGTATAAAACTAACTTATATAATACAATTGTTCTATAAGTTTATTCTAATGCTAATGTCTATTCCTATTGTAGTGTTGAATGTGGGGTATATGCCCTGAAATTTATTGAGTTCGACATGACCAAGACCCCGATGGATGGGTTGAATGACCAAACAATGAGGACTGTCGAGAGGGCTAGGCTGTCGACTGCTTCCATGGGCAGATGGATCCGTTTTGAGGGTACAAAACCCAATAAAAAGGTATGAAACTTCTCAAACAAAGGTTGGTTGGCAAGAGGAGAGGAGGCATCTGCAATAAAGGCTGTTGGGAAGGCATGGTACAAAACAATGATCTCAGAGAGGTTGCTGACAGTGTATAGGAAATTTTTCTAAAGAATTGGATCTGACATTTGGGAGATAATTTTTTTTGTCCATATAAGATATCTTATTAGCAAGTTGAATTTACTATGTATGGTGTGATCATTTGCTTCACCCAAGCCGGATAATGGTTTTTTAGCGTTTTGTTTCATTTTGTGTATCACTACAACGTGTGATATACTAGTGTGATTATTTGATTCACCCAAGCCGGATAATGGTTTTTTAGTGTTTTGTTTCATTTTGTGTATCACTACAACGTGTGATATACTGGTGTGATTATTTGATTCACCCAAGTTGGGGGTAATGGTTAGCTTGTCCATATATTTCGATATTTGCCGCATCCCATGCCTATTTTTTATTTTCTGTTTCGATTACATTGATGTCTCACATATTTTGATTTGTGATGAATTTGATTGATACAAATTCTTTTCGGATTTGGGAGGGAAATGAGTGATGTACAAATGTTTCCCAAATGACTAAGACTTTTCCAGATATGATTGCTTAAGCGATCTAAAATCCCTTAAGCGACCAAGAGTCTATTACGAAGCATCGCTTAAGCGATACGTCATATCGCTTAAGCGATTACCCATCTGTGTAGATGTTCCTCCTGCCTTGACAAAGATCGCTTAAGCGATCCTAAATCGCTTAAACGACAGAGACTCGTTTAGGAAGCATCGCTTAAGCGACTTAAGCGATCATAGATCTGGGCAAATTCCTTCTGCCTTGGCCAAGATCGCTTAAACGATTTGGGATCGCTAAATCGCTTAAGCGATCAAGAGTGTTTTACAAAAATCGCATAAGCGATACAAATGGATAGCTTAAGCGACCAGGAGTAAAAGCCATGAATCGCTTAAGCGATACATAAGATTGCTTAAGCGATCATAGATCTGGGCAGATTCATTCTGTCTTGAACAAGATCGCTTAAGAGATTTAAGATCGCTTAAGCGATCAAGAGTGTTTTACGAAAATCGTTTAAGCGATACAAATGGATAGCTTAAGCGACCAGGAGTAAAAGCAATGAATCGCTTAAGCGATACATGAGATCACTTAAGCGATCATAGATCGGGGAAGATTCATTCTGCCTTGGCCACGATCGCTTAAGCGATTTGAGATCGCTTAAGCGATCAATAGTGTTTTATGAAAATCGCTTAAGCGATACAAGTGGATGGCTTAAGCGATTTTCGATCTGGGCAACTGCCCCGAGCTAGATCGCTTAAGCGATTACCGATCGATTAAGCGAGCAAGAGTAAAAGCAACGAATCGCTTAAGTGTTCCTATGTATTCGGATATTATTTATTGTATTTCAGAGCATTGGTTTAGCGATTAACGCTATGCTAAACATATAGGGTTTACGATTCGTCTTTGTGGACTATGACCGTTATTATATTTATATTAAACATATATTTATATTAAACATATAGTTCCTTTACGTCAATATGAAATATATAAAGTGTAAAATGTTTACGTCTATGCTAAACATATAGGGTTCACGATTCGTCTTTGTGGACTATGACCGTTATTATATTTATATTAAACATATAGTTCCTTTACGTCAGTATGAAATATATAAAGTGTAGAATGTTTACGTCTATGCTAAACATATAGGGTTTACGATTCATCTTTGTGGACTATGACCATTATTATATTTATATTAAACATATAGTTCCTTTACGTCAGTATGAAACATATAAAGTGTAGAATGTTTACGTCTATGCTAAACATATAGGGTTTACGATTCGTCTTTGTGGACTATGACCGTTATTATATTTATATTAAACATATAGTTCTTTTACGTCAGTATGAAACATATAAAGTGTAGAATGTTTACGTCTATGCTAAACATATAGGGTTTACGATTCNGCACACGTCAGACCTGCCAAGTGATGTGGAGCCCACACGCGTCCATTCTCCTGCAACAAGTCGTGCGATGTCAGCTTGGAAAAAGGGAAATGGGACATAAAGCCAGATTATATACTGACAATTACACCAAACCACGGATTTAGCAATGATTATACGCTTCGGTTCAGTATAAAATAGGGAAGACCCCTTCATTAAGGGGATTCAGCCATTTTACATACAAAAAAAAGAACAAACGGAAATCTCTCTCTTGTAAACTTTGCTTTGACTTTTTCGTCTGATGTACGTCAGCTCGCGACCGCGACCTGACACCCACTAATATCAATACAAATCAGTGGACGTAGGACTTGCTATCTTAGCGTCCGAACCACTTAAAAAACTCCCTCTACAGTCATTTTACTTTTCATATATTCCATTTTCACGTGCATCGAACAGTCAATTGATATTATACACGTAAAAATTCGTTGGTGTAAAAATCAGCATCAACAAAAATAAATACAACCAAATGTATCAATTTGAGATTTCGTTAAACCTAGAATGAGAATATGCCATTTACTATATTGTAAATGGTGACACATCTTAGGCCAAAATTTAAAACATCCCAGGTTCAGGCTTCAAACGACAAAGTCTACAATTTCACACCAAGTAAAACTTACAAAATATGGTTGCAACCTGTATGCTACTTGCCTATCAATTTGTCAACATAAAATTTCTTAAATACATGATTGTGCCATCAACATACGGTTGAAAGCAGAGTTTCAAAGAATTCTCTCACTTGAATTTTTATAACAAAATCTCACTTTTAAAATTTATCCGTGCTCAAAATATTGTTTTACTCTTCCACCCACTACACAAGATCGTGACAGCAAAATTTTGGGGGAACCTAATTAAATACATAAATTGTCACTGTTTATAAGTTATAAATGAAAAAACGTGGAAAGAGAGTGATTTTTTTTTTTGTTCAAACACTGTTCTCTGTAAACTCTGTGCAGCCCTGGAGGAAAGTGATGATGACTATTCTTGGATCTTCAGCACTCTTCACATCATTGAACCTTTCCGGTTGAAGTTACAGTTTCCCTTTCTCTCCCAATTTGCCTCAGACTGGTACTTAATTGTCTAGCCGCCTGAGAAAAACACAAGAACAGAACAGCTATGTTAGTCTTCGTATCACTGGAAATAACTAATCAAGCACAAGAAATGCAAATAAGAATACCATGTTAAGATTTAGATCCTAAAATTATGTTATTTGAGAAATCAAATCAAGCCAATTCAATAAATAAGTACAAAGAGACAAGTTTGTTTAATTCTCTAGTAATATATAACAAACCTTGCATCTAAGGATATAAATTCTAATATCACTCTGGGATAACCCGTGCAAATATCAATGGCAGCAGGTTTCAGATAATTTTATCAAAACAAGCATTCAAACCCCTGTTAATGCTCCCTCAGTGAACTACAATACTAAATGAACAGGTTAAGAACATGGAGCATCCCTATGGTTCAACAGTTTGTTAAGCTAAGGCATGCACAAACAGGATCCAGTAAAAAATCTCAAAGGCCAAATCATTACTTTCATCAAATATTACAAAATGCTTAAGGCTAAACAGTAAAGATCATCAAACAACGTATGGCTAGAAGCACATGAACAAGCTAGAAGTTATAGCATCAACCTGATTATAAACATAGCAGGCATGTCTATAGCTTCAAACAGGTACTCCAATTAAGATAAAATCCACCAATAAAGTGGTCCAAAAAGGCAAACCTACATATTCCCTTTTATGTTAATTATAGTCTCTAATCAAGAAATAAAACATAGCAGAGTTTTGTATTGGCTTTCACAAATGAGTTTTAATATCTACAGCCTACAGGTTCTATTACAGTAAAATAACACTTTGTTTTTTCTTTTTATTTTTCTTTTATACAGCACAATAAAATTGAAACAGAGCCAAATAGAATAACTCTCTGGCAGGATAACCAAACCTAAATACCCGCTAACTTATTGCAATCCTAAAAAGTCCCTTAAAAAATTAGGCAAGAAAACTGGATAACCATGAAAAATGTTTTCTTGAAACCCCAGACTTCAAACCAAACCGAATTCTGTATAACTCTTAAATTATAAATCCCAAATCTCTTCAATCCCCTCTAACTTGATCCTTAAAAGATAAAATTAAATAAAAAAAGGGATGCCCTCCAACTTGAGGGCAATTAAATCAATGTTTCTGGCATGAAGAATCAGCTAAATACTTGGACAACAACCAAGTATTAACCAAACCTTTGCAGCAATAGCAAAACAATGAAGAAGGTGATCCATGGTTTCTCCATCCCTTTCACCAATATAACGATTAAAAATTCTTCCAAGTGATCTTTAGGCATGTCTAACCTCTTTACCCAAACCTCAATCTAATGTCTTTCAGTCAGATCCAAACAAAATTAGATCAATCAAGTATTCGCCCTCTCCCACTTCCCCAGCTCTATCTAGCCACAATGTACAACCTTATAATGTTATCATCTCTATGTAAATGTTTTCTATCCACCAGGATTAAAAAAAAAAGACAGAGTCACTAAGGCAATCCAGATGCTCTAAGGATAGAAATTACAATTCAAAATTTTCACTCAAGCAAGAAATACTTGAGTAAGTCACACTTGATGGCCAGTAATTTTGTAGATCAGTCAAACATAGCCCAAAGGGGCTTAACCCACTTAAACCCTCAAACACTTCAGGCAGCTGGATGCTTAGACGAACTGTTTCTAGTTTGAATTTGCAGCTAAGAGCCTAAGACCATACCTATATAATTGCTTTCCAAGCTAAAATGTCTTGAACAAGTTTTCAACGCAGAAAAGCATCTTCTTATCAGGGAGATAATAAAACGGATCGGATCCAGCATTAATAAAAATACTTGACTTATGGTAGTTTTATCATGAGAGTAGCTTAATTGAAAATTACTAAACTAACGAATTCTTAAAATATGATGTATCGCTGAGAACAAAAGCAGTGCTGCACATATCAAATCAAAACCGAAAGCAAATGCTGACCGTTGAGTGGAATGGAGCCGGATCAATATCAATAGAACGAATAGACATCTTAGCGATCTCGTTAATGGCAGCCTCTCTAACCTCCGCCACGTCACTGCTCAACTCCTCGTACGCAGCCACGAACGCCTCTTGCCAAAATCTCGGTAATCTGATCCGACGGTTATTGGTGTACACATCCCACATGTGCTTCACCACTTTCTCTCTCTCTTCCATCTCCTAAAATCACCACAAACAAAACCGCATTAACATAAATTCATACACGTTGTGTATCTACTAACTTAGCAATAATTAAAGAGAGCGACTGACGAGGACGTCGAGATCGTCGTGGATAGGGCTGTCAAGATCATCGATAAAACGGTTGAGATTGCCCGCTGACCAACGGAGAGTAACGGTGCCGGTGAACATTGACCATAAAGCCAGCAATAAAATGGCCGCTAGTGCCCAAACCTTGTAACGACCTTTGCCCAAAAGACTCAAATCTGAGCTTTCTTTCTTTACATTTATGGTTGTTGCAGGAAGGTTGTCATCATCCTTCATTTCGAAGAACCAAATTGCAGAGATTTTTTACTTTTAGGATTCGATTACTTAAAGGTAAATTTATGTGTTTCGAACAGATTTGGAAATTAAATGAATTTTATGAGAGGGATTTGGGAAGGAGACGGCGAGTTAATTAATATGTTTTGTCATTTGTGGCCCACCGTAGTGAATGTCTAAGGGCTGTTGCCTTTATCCGATTTCGGATTTTCGGTTTGTGTAACATGGCGGTATCATCTCGTCCTTTGATTTAATGTGAGATCAGCGTTTTGTGTAGGCTTTATTAAAAGGCCACCGACAAAGGACGACAGCGTTTTAGAGTGGATTGGATTGGATTGGGCCTTGGGGCTTTCCTGAGATCTTCAGATTGGACAGACTCACTATTAGATTTACTTTAGTCTTTAACTCTTTATATATTGTTACACAATTTCTCATGTCAATTTTCTAAACTAAATCAAATTTTGGTCTCATTCCGAAAGTGCTTTCTATATTCAATTGAAAACATGTAGCAACATACTTTTGTTGAAGTGGTTAATTTTCAGGGGTTATATTTACCATAGATAATTAACCATGGTTAATGATGGGTTTAAAGTAAATTAGAAAGGTTGATAATTGTCACTGATGATGGCTAATGTGCCAAGCCTCAAACACAAATATATTAAAGAGTAAACGACCTTTTCCCACCCAAGGTTTGTCTCAACTCAAAAAATTTCAAAATATCACTTTTCTACTCAAAGTTTATATTCCGTTAATATCCACAATATACTTCATTTTTTCAATCGGTGTTTAACGAGTTACCAGGAATCAAGAGGAAGAATAGAGGCTTGTGGATCGAATAGTGGTAATCGATTGAATATTCGATACCATAATCAACAGGAAATCAGCTAAAAATATGAAACCTTATCTTTGTTGTGCCCGACAATCGATGAAAAATTAGGTATAAGAGTGAGTGAGGTTTTGTATAGAGGAGACCGAAGGTTCAAATGGTGGTAACAAAGAGAATTTTTGTCGCTGGAATCGGTTGTGGTTTATTATGAAATATTAACTGTAGGTGGAAGAGTGATATTTTAAAATTTTGTGGGTGAAAAAGTGTCATTAAAGGCAAACCTTGGGTGGGAAAAAGTGTTTACTCATATATTAAATATTATGCAAATTTCATTATATAAAACCGATGCATTTGAGCTAGTATTTACTATTTACATATATTCTTCTTGGTTTGGAAATATATTAATTATTTTTATTTGATGTCCTCTGGAGGATGAAAGTAATCTGCCGTCAAACCCCAAATGTTAAAATCTGCTTCTTCAATCTTCCATTTCTCTTCCATCTCCCTCTTGTGATTTGCAGAATGCTCTCCATATCTAAAAATTCTGACACGTGTCCTGCCGCCATGTGCAATGTTAACACCATCGACGTGTCTGTAATCATCCATTACTGATTCCGTGCTAGTTTCCCAGAAAACATCGTCGTCAGCTTTTGTTCTCATTCTTAGCAGCCTTGAATCCTCAAATTGAACCAATAGTCCTGATCTTTGGCTGAAGTAACCCCAGATTGTATGGTGAATGATCTCGTAATTAGGACCGCTTTGTGCCTCTCGAATGGCTGGACTTGTCTCTAGCTTCAATATGAAACAGTCGTCCTGGTTTATAACCTTTTCCCCAATGCATGAAGCGTCTAAAAATAGATTAGCCGTGGACCTTGGATCCAAACCCTGACAAAAACAAAAATATGTATAGACGAAATTGCTTTTAACAAATAAACAGGTGAGGTGAGCTCAATAAATCTATAGATATTATACCTGTAAAAAGCGGCGCAAAGGTCTAGGAGGGCCCTTTGAAATGGGTGCTTGGCTGTTAGAGGAATGTCTCCATGAAAGCTTGCCGTTGCTTCCACAGATGACCTTGCAGCCAGAGACAACGAATTCTAAATACCATAAGTCTGGATCTTTCTGCCATAGCACGAATCCACCAGCTTCGTGGGTGGTTTTCACATTTGTGCTTGGATCTTGATCGCCCCGCCGAAACTCTGATGCTGTAATTTTCACTTGTCCTGTTACGCACATGCTGTGCACTGCATTTAAAGCTGCTTGTCCTCCTGTGGCCGCTATGTATTGTTGTACAATGTATTTTGCCGTTGATGCTTGCTGAAAGTTGATTAATACTTGTGTTGTTAGCTAAAGATTACAGGATTTCTAGGTTATCAGCAAAGCAAAGTACAGGACAATAAACTAGTTGTAAACTCAAAAGCAATTTTCAGGATGGAAAATAGGATCTTAAAAAACAATCGTGAATATCTTTTGTAATTTCTAAAAACTCTTTCATAGATACAATGTCATTCTTGAAGATTGAAAGCTAATTCTTGTTTTGTTTATAGGAAGAAAGAGAGAGAAAGCTTACGATGGAACAATCTTTGACAGGCTTATGAACAGAGTGGCCTAATTGGACCTGGAGAGGGATAAGAGGAGAACCAACAAGGTAAAGGAGGAAACGTAGCTCGTTAAATCGACTCGCAATGACTGGTTGCGACCATTTTTCAGAAGTTTGAGCTTTCATCCAGGATAACATGTTTTGCCATCGTAAATGAACATTGTTACCCATGCTATGGAACATTTCTTCTGGTATTGGGACCTCGAGCACCGTCTCAAGGCCATCTTCTTTCTCCATATTTGGACAAAGTTTCCTCATGTAAACTAATTAAGTAAAATTGCAGAAATTATTGTCAGAGGAATTAAAGAAAGAAAGACTGTATCTAGGTTTGGTTAATTGCTAAATCAGAATGGGAGACTGCCTTAGGGCTCTCCTTGCTTGTAGTTTTCGTGTGGGCACGATTTATAAGCTAGATTCATTTTATTTTTTTAGCTTTCTAATTTAAGAAACGTCTAACCCAATGCTGTTATTGCAAATTTTTTCTTCTCATCAGCTTAGTTACAATTTGCTGTTTATGCCCATTTCCTGTTAAAATTAATATCAAAGACATACACAGAAATATAAACATAGGACAATCCAAATTGTATCTAGCAAATTAAACCCCTGTGATTAGCTCCATAAACATAAACCCCCCCAGCTGTTTTAATGTTTTGTACTTCGGGTGGCATAATCGACAAGGTCAAATTTTGGGCCAAAATGAATTTTTTTTTTTTTTTTTTTAATCACTGGGGTGTCCGGATAATTTGTACACACCTCAACTAATCCCTCGAGCTTTGGAACTGTCAGCTAAGTAAGAGCCTCAACTGGGCTTCTATTAGTGTCTGTGGAGACTTAAACTCAAAAACTCATAAAATCTCATTTTGTTTTTTTATTATCAGGGCATCCAGTGATGATTAACTAAAATAAAATCTCGATTGGTTTGATGCATCTACATAAAATAAGAAAATTATTTTGCAAATTTTTATCAAAAATAATATGAAGTGCAATACAAGACCTAAAGGAATATATAATATAAATCAAGAATAGTGTATTTGAGAATATTTGGAAGAAAAGAATTCAAGGTAAGCACAAATTTAAATTAAACAGTTCGAGTCATGATTTCAGTACAAGTGACCAACCAAACCATGTAACTTGTTTAATTTAAACAACCAAAAACCGAATCTAACTAATTTCTTAGGAAAAAAAAATAATAATCATACGAGAAGAAGTGGATATATATATATACACACACATATCCCCAAAATTAATAAAATTAATGAATAGATATAAACATAGAAAAGTTGAGGGTCACGGGGATAAATTTTAATAAATTAATAAAATTATTTCCAAAAGCAAAAACAGATCAAAATGATCTCTCAATTTAAATCCACTTGATGATAAAGAGTAAGATACTTCAATGAGTCCTCATAACCTCTAAAAGGATGGTTACTGAACTATCCGGTAGTAGTTTTAGAGTTCGAGAATTAATTGAATGCTATAAATGACCCGTGAATCACCCATCATAGCTTCTTTCATTCCACCACACAAAACCGAAAATCATGAAAACCAAACAAATTATAAATCAACAAACCACTTTACAGGCGATTGTCACGCACTTAACTTCTTTGCTAAGTTCGTGCGGCCTAACCCTTCGGAAACGAGTTAAGCAGCTAACGCTCACACAACTAACAAGCTCAAAGTATAAAGTTTAGAGAGAGAAGCTTAAGTAGAGAAAATAAACTCTGTATTGAAAGGATTCAAGGTATAATGTACAAGGGAGGGGTGGCCTATTTATAGGCTAAACCTCCTCAAAAAATACTAGTATCATCGAATACTTAGTCCTTAAGTTACTTAATTCCAAGTAACACTAGGTGGCACCCTAGGTGGGCAACCTTAGGTGGTGGGATAAGCATTATCCATTAAGTGTCTTTGCCACTAAGTTTACTTAACTCGAAGTTTACTAGCCACTAAGCAACGTGCATCCATGAGTCACCAAGCAAGCGGGTCGTGACACTCTCCCGCACCTAATGTTGCGACGCCCTCGTCGCACTATCCTTATAAATACGGATGGAGTCTTGGAATTGCCACAATGAGTCTTCGGTCTCCCAACTGGCTTCATTATCGGGAAGTCCCTTCCATTTGATGAAGTACTCCCGGGTAATTGGCACTCCCCGTCGGTGAACGACTCTATCGGCCAATATTTCTTCGACTTCCTTGTCAAAGCTGTTACGACAGCGGGGGTGGTCGTTTAGAGACTCGAGATGGCTCCTCTGGGTCTTCATGAAAATGGTTTTAACAAACTTACATGAAAGAACGGATGTATCTTCAATTCGGAGGAAGTTGGAGTCGATACGAGACTTTGCCGATGGTTGTATCACTTGAAAGGGCCCCCATATTTGCGCACTAGGCCTTTGTGCACTCTCCTCAATGTCTTGAACTGTTGGGGCAGAAGCTTTACAAGAACAAGATCACCTTCCTGGAACTCAACATGCCTTCTTTTCTTGTCAGCCCATTTCTTCATTCTCTTTGCTGCTTTGGTAGGGCTGCACGAGCAATTCAGTTTGTTCGTGCCATGATTTGGCTAACCTGAAGGCTGCAGGGCTTTCCCATCGTAGCGTGTAGCTAGGGAAAGAGGGTTGGTGTGTTCGGTGCCGTCCATGATGATCTCAAAAGGGCTTTTGTGGTTGCCTCGCTCGTTGCAAGTTAAATGAGAATTGGGCTGTGTCCAGGAGCTTTGCCCAATCCCGCTGGCTAGCACTCAACATAGTGCCGCAAATATGCTCCACAGTGCATTTACACGCTCTTGACCATCAGTTTGGGGATGAAAGCTGGTCGAAAAGTCTAGGTTCGAACCTAGTATCTTGAATAACTCGTCCAAAATCTCCCGGTGAACCGAGGATCTCGATCACTGACTATGCTTGTCGGAATGCCCATAACTTGATGATGTTGCGGAAGAAAAGCTGGCTGTTTCTTCTGCTGTGCAATCGGTGGATGGCGGGATGAAGGTGGCATACTTGCAAACCTGTCCACAATGACAATGATGCTTCCGGCCCTTCAGACTTTGGCAAACAAGTGATGAAGTCCATTGAGACACTCTCCATGGTCTCTCGGGCACGGGTAACGGTTGTAGTAAGCTGCCGGTTGTTGGCACTACCTTGTCTGCTGGCAAAAAAAGGCACGTACGTACATATCCCTCGATACTATCCTGCATCCCAGGCCATAGTAGGCAGATTTTAAGAGAGCAGAGTACGTCTCATACCTGGAGGCTGCCCACAAGGAGTATGACACCCTTGATTAATTCCTTCCTCAGATTATCCATCTCGGGATGTAAAGGCGGCTGCCTTGGTGTAGAGTAAGCCATCAGTCAACCAAAACCTTCGGGTTTTCCTTCTCACCAAGGCCATGATGTTTCAGCCAATGGCTCATGCTGGAGTCCCTGCTTGATTCGGTCAGCCAATGCGCTTGTGACTGATGAGCTCGCCAACTCGGCCTTGCGGCTTAGTGCATCGCCACCCACATTGGTCTTGCCGGCTTTGTACTCCAAAACAGTCAAACTCAGCAAGAAAAGTCCTGCCACCGTGCTGCTTCGGACTTAACTCTCTGGGTCTGAAAATAGCTTGTTGCGACGTTACTGTCAAAATAACAACTCGACCCTAGTAAGGAGTGCCGCCACACTAAACAATGGTGATGGCTGTCACTCTCCTTTTCTTGCCGGTGTAACGCCGCTCAGTCTCATTGAGCTTTCGACTCTCATAAGCAATCGGATGCCATTCTGATGAGTACCCCCGCGATGGCAAAGTCGATGCTGTCCGTGTGCACTTTATAGGCTGGTGTGGTTTGGCAAGGCAAGCACTGGTTCCTTGCTGATTGCAGCTTCAACCTTCAAAGGCGGTCGACACTCTTTAGACAGTCCCACGGCTTTCTCTTTCTGAGTAAGTCTGTCAACGGGGCTGCCTTTGCTGAGTTGCCTTTGTAAATCGGCGGTAGTAGTTAACTAACCCCAGGAAGGATCGAACTCCGGCACCTTGGTGGGTGTTTCCACTCTTGAATAGCCCGCACTTTTTACCTTCCATCATAAGTTGCCACCTGATCTTGTGACCCAAGAACATTACATTCCGGCTTGGCGAAAGAGCATTTCTCTTTCTTGATATACAGCTATTGTCCCGCAGTACCGGAACACTTCCTTAGGTGGTGCACATGCTCCTCCCAAGTTTTGCATATTACTACTATGTCATCTAAGTAGACGACCACAAACCGGTCGAGATATGGATGAAATATCTTATTCATTAAAGTACAAAAAGGAGCAGGTGCATTTGTTAGACCAAATGGCATAACTAAAACTGTAAGACCCATACCTTGTAAAAACAAGGGTCTGGCTCGTCGCCTTCAGTCTGCGCACTTGAAATAGCCCGACCGCAAATCTAGCTTGGTAAAGTACGGGCATCCCAGCTGGTCAAAAAGATCGCAATCAAAGGAATGGGATAGCTATTTTTCACAGATTACTTGTTGAGAGCTCGGTAGTCTATGCACATCGCAAAGAACCATCTTTCTTCCTTTGAAATAAGACCGGGGCTCCATAGGAGCTTTGGAGGGCTTGATGAAAACCTGCATCCAGAAGTTCCCGCAATGCCTCCTTAGCTCGGTAGATTCGGTGGTGCCATCGGTAAGGACCCTTAGCAGGTGGCTTGGCGCCCGGCTCAAGCTCAATCTGATGATTCTACCTCCTTCTAGGTGGTAGCTCTTTCGGCAGCTCATTCGGTGAGACATCAACAAACTCTTCGAGTACTTGTGTTACTTCCGGGGCACTGCCTTGGCGGGGATTGGTTCCTCATCATCATATGCTTGAGGATGGCCAAGTAACTTTCCTTTTTCTATTGACGCCTTTCTTGAACTGCATGGCTGAAAGTACTGTTCCCTGGTTGGTTAGAGCGGCTAGTAGGCAACACACAAGGTTGTCCCGTCATTATACAATGGTGTGGTTGACGGCAAGGGAAATGCCTGACTGTTCCATGAACTCTAAGCCAAGCACAACTTGATAGGCATCCATCGGTGCAACGAGAAATTCAAGTAGCAGACCAAGTTCCCATTGTCGTCTGACATGTCGAGCCACTCCCTGTATCGGTTGTGCCACTGAGTTGATGCCTGATGGTGCCTCCACCTCCTGAAGCCTTGATGTCTAGCCGACGTGCTTCGCTTCCTGAAATGAAATTATGCGAAGCTCCCGTATCTACATGGCTTTGGTGGCCTTCCCATTGATGGCCATATCAACATAGAGCAACCCTTTGGCTTGGGTTTTGGTGCGGACTGAATCCCATTGGAGTAATTGCACGCCCATATGTGCCCCATCACTACTACTCTCGGCCGGCTGCCCTCTTGATGCTTGGCTATAAGGGAAGTGAGAGCTTTCTTCTCCGGACAATCTTTCACCCAATGTGGCCCGTTGCAAAGAAACAGCCGTTGCGGGGTTTGTTGGAGCCCTTCTCCCCGTTTGCCTTGTCCTTGCCTTTGGATGAGGAGTTGTCTTGGCGGGTGTCTCGGTAACTTCTTGATGCCCTTATCTCCCGCACCTTTAACCAAAGCTACACTCTTCTTTCTTTGGATTTGCCGGTGGGTTCTTTTTGGCTGCTAATCAATCAAACTCGTAAGAACGCTATGGCCGTGGCAAGATCTTGCACTCCCGAGCCCTTAGCTCGTTTTTTACCCATGACTGCAACCATCCTAAAGTTGAAGAGTGAATCCTTGTCGGACAATCTCCGGGATCCAGTATCAAGTCGGTGAAGGCCTTGATATAATCATGGATCGTCCTGTTGCTTGATCCGTCGCAAGCGAGCTCTTGCCTCATCCTCGGCATTTTCCGTGGGTAAAACTGTCGAAGCTCTCTTTTAAAATTATCAAAAGTGAGAGATAGTGCAAATACCTTTCTCGTCTCCTCCACCACAACCTTGCGGTGTCTGTGAGATAGAGGACTGCAGTTTCAATCCGCAGCTTCCTTCGTGACGCACGGCCCGAAAGTACTTGTCTAGTCCCCCACAAGAGTTATAACCTCTTGTGCCTTGCGTGAGCCACCAAAGCTTTAGGCCTTGGTATGTCAATTCGTTGGCTTTCAACGACGCTACTGCCGGTTCTTGCCACCATGGCGCGCTTGCATCGCGCTAAATCAGCTTGCAACCTCGTCTAGAGAACAAGGGTGCCGTTGACTTCGTTTGGAAACACATGACGGGTTTTGGCACGCTCCCTTCGAACTCCTCAGGATTTTCCCCATTCCGCCCTTAACGACTCCATTTGAAGCACATGGCTTTCGCAACAGTGTGAGTTTCGGACACCCTCGTTTCTAGCTCATCCACCCGATGATCTAGCTCATCGACTGTGCGCTCACCCTTTTTCTAAAAGATAGCGTGAGTCAAAATGGAAATAAAGTCTTTGGACTTACCTCTCTGCCTTGAGGGGTTGGGGTTGGGGTCGACTCTTCCGAGCGACCACGTTCTTCGGAAGCCCCTCCATCAGCCGTCCTGGATCCCTTTGTTGAAGCGACAGTGTCTTCACCATTGAATAAAAACCGAGGTATGCTAACCGAGGCTCTGATACACTTGTCACGCACTTAACTTCTTGCTAAGTTCGTGCGGCCTTAAACCCTTCGGAAACGAGTTAAGCAGCCTAACGCTCACAACTAACAAGCTAAAGTATAAAGTTTAGAGAGAGAAGCTTGAGAAAATATAAACTCTGATTGAAAGGATTCAAGTTATGAAATGTACAAGGGAGGGGTGGCATATTATAGGCTAAACCTCCTCAAATAAATGACTAGATACATTCGAATACTTAGTCCTTAAGTTACTTAATTCCTAAGTAAACACTAGGTGGCACCCTTAGGTGGCAACCTTAGGTGGATGGATAAGCATTATCCATTAAGTGTCTTTGCCACTAAGTTTACTTAACTCCGAAGTATACTTAGCCACTAAGCAACGTGCATCCCACTTGAGTCACCAAGCAAGCGGGTCGTGACAGTATGGACGCTTTCAGTGGGATGGATGGATGAATGGCGTACCGGTTTTGGCCTGTATCAAAGTTGGACCTAAATTTATGTATCTGCATTTCTAACTTTCTTCTAAGGTTCACACGATCTAATATTAATATATGTAAAATAAATTGATCAACTATGCAAACATTAGTCTCAATCATCAGTTCACTCCATCTAATTCCGTAAAATACTCTTAAAAATATCATATAAAATAAGGATCAAATGATATAGCATCATATCACTTGAGATATAAAAGTTGAAGCAAAACTTTAAGATTATAGCAGCAGAAATTAATTAGAGATGGAATTACAAACCAACCGTAGAAAATTACATGTATGTACATATATATAGTTTAGCTCCCTTCTGATTAAATTACTATATCTACATCTAGAAATTGTAGGCACCCTAATTTCATTTCTACTGCTGCTAGTGCTAGTCCATTGCACTCTAACCATTGTTTACTGTCTGCGTCTCAATATCAGCAGAATTTTTTCGCTTAGATCCTTTGGAGAAGAGCGCCTCTATCTCTTCTAAAGGCTTACCCTTTGTCTCAGGCAAGAGAAAATAGAAGAAAAACCAAGCAACCACTGAAATGCCACAAAACATAAAGAAGGCTCCACCAATGGTGATTGCTTTATAGATTGAAATAAAAGTCATAGATATTAAGGCGTTCATGAGCCTGTTCACAGCAACACCAATGGCCATTCCTTGTGCTCTTAACTTCAAGGGAAATATCTCACTGCTATACACCCATGTCACTGGCGCAAGCCCAATATTGAAGAAAGCTACATATGCATATGTAGAAACAATACTGAGAGTCAGTGCCCATAAGAGTTCCGTTTTTGAGTTTTCTACCATGGTCAAACTGAACCCCAATACTGCTAGAGCTGCAACTATTCCGGATGTGCTTATTAGAAGAAGGCGCCTCCTTCCAACTCTGTCAATTAAAGAAGTGGCTATTAATATGAATATAGTCTTTATGATTCCCACTCCTACCGTCGCCAGCAATAGTTTATCCTTGGACTTGACTCCGGCTTTCTTGAATATTCTTGGACCGTATAAAATAACCGCTTCAACTCCAACAGCGTGCTCAAAGAAATGTATTCCGATGGCTGCAATTAAGATCCTGCGAACAGCAGGTGTAGGTCTCAACAGAAGCTCCTTCCATACCCCTTTGCCGCGACTATTGTGAGCAGGCTTCACGAACTCCTCCTTGGTATTCTCATCAAATCCAGCTGCAACCCTTATGTCCCGACAGCGCCTTTCAGCTTCTTCTTCCGAATTGCAAACTAGCAACAGTGTTCTTTTGGCTTCTCCTAAACGGCCTTGCATTCCTAGCCATCTTGGAGACTCGGGCATTTTTAGTATGGCAAAGACCAAGACAAATGAAGGAATGGCTGCAACTCCAAGCATCAACCTCCAGCCAAGCTTCAAAGTTAATTTCCCAAAGAAATAATTAGATACATAACCTGATAATATACCAAGACTAATGCAGAGCTCTGGTAGAGAGGATAAAAGGCCTCGCGCTTTTGCAGATGAAATCTCGGCAGAATAAACTGGAGCTATCATGAGGGCAAAGCCTACACCGATTCCTGAGATGCACCTTCCAGTCAATAGGACGGGATAGTTAGGGCCATAGCCCATTAAAACTGCACCGACCAGGAAAATGATGGCGGACACGACTATGGTGTAACGCCGCCCAATAAAATCCGATGTTCTTCCAGCAAAAAGGGAACCAAGTAACGCACAGACATTAAGAATTCCGGCAAGAATTTCTATTTTTACGTCGTCGATTTTCAGGTCTTCCTTTATGAAAATCATAGCCCCACTCATAACACCAGTGTCTGAAAATGAAAAGGTAGAATAAATTTTTTCATCAAGATAAAAAGCTAATAATTTTATGTATTTACATTGCTTACAAAATCAAAACTCTGTTTCAGTGCATTCACTATATTCAAGGTAAAGGAAAATAAGATAAGATGAAGTTTGTGACATGGTTAAACTAGAATTTGCAATATACATAACCAGAGATTTAGACATGGAGATATTGAACATGAAAGCAAAGAAAAGATAGAAATTAATTACCATATCCAAATATGATGCATATGAGAGATGCAACTACGGAACTGGCAGCGGCATACTTGTTAAACTTGTGGGAATCGCCATTACCATCAGTTGAAACCATAGTCATGTTTCTGCTTGTGCCTGGAAGTGTCAAGGGGGGACGTTTATTATATAGAATTCAAGGTGAGCAATATTATGAGAAAGTAAACAGGAACAGTTCTGGTGGTACCCACTAGTTTCAGGTTCAAAATATAGATAATTTGTTTGGCGATTACCTACTAGTACAGGTTGTAAAGCTAACCAGTGGCTTAATTAGGAAGAGGATATACAATTAATATTTCGGTAATATTAATATTCGGCACTCATTATCCATATGGTTTGACATTTTTAGATGAGACTGAACCAATCTGATCTCTATTTGCGAAAAAATCGTCATTGTGATATCGCATTGACTCTGTATAATCCTGCACTGTCCATAAATTTTTTTTTTTTTTTTTTTTTTAATTCGGGCTAAAATTATGATTCACCACATATCTTCCTTCATCAGGATTGTAATTTGAAAATAATCATGGAAACTCGATCTATTTCCTAATCAAGAATCCCAATTCCAGGAATCTAATTTCTTCCGGTAAAAAAGAGCTAAAAACTAAAATATGAAGATGGATTTGAATCTTCTACTTATCTAGACACGTTGCACTTATATCTTATAAGAGTAATCCATTCATGTAAAACAGAAAGTTAAGACTTACTTTATAAACAAAGAACACGTTATCAGTTACTAGAAAAGATTATATATATATATATAAAGATTATTGAACCGGCACACTAATTACTGCTCTGTTTCATAATGATAGAATTGCTTATAACTTAGCTTTTTTTAATTAATTTAGAGTAAACTACTTTTTCCCACCCAAAATTTGCCTTCATTCAAAAAGTTTCAAAACACCACTTTTCCACGTTAGCGTTTATATTCTATTATACCTAAAATATACTTTATTTTCTCAATGGGCATACAAAGAGTTACTAGGAGCCAGGATAAGAGGTTTTGGTTGAGTGGAGGCTAGTGGATGAATGTTGGTGACTGACGGATATTCGCTATCGAAATCAACCAAAAATCATTGAAGAACATGAAACCCTAGATTTGTGGTGGTGAACAATCAGTGAGAAATTAAGTACTAAAGTGAGAGTGATTTTATACAGAGGAGACCAAAGGTTTATATGATGGTGACAAAGAGAATTTTCTCCACCGGAATTGACTTTGAGTAGTAACGGAATATTAACTTTGGGTGAAAAAGTGATATTTTAAAACTTTTTAAATGGAAAAATGTCATTAAGGCAAACAATGGATGGGAAAAAGCCGTTTACTCTATTAATTTATTGTTAATTTATCTAAGAAACACAGGATATTTATACCCTCTGGATCCTGATTATTGATAGAACATCTTATCTTCTACTTGATTCTTGTTTATTTAAGATTAAAAATTTCTTTGCTATAAAATTTAATAGATGACCAACGGAATTGTCCTTAGCCTAAGAATGTGGAACGATTTATTTTATTTGATTTTATCGTGATTATATTAAAGTACAATAAATTAATGACCAAGTTCGGCGTATTTGTCCAATTTCTCAAGGCAGCGGTTTTGGCGGCCTGGGAGATGCATGAGCTACTGTGATTGCATTAAAACCACCAAAAATACTACACTAACAATCATCTCTTACAATTATGACATAATAATTTATAATTAATTAATTTACAACGAGTCTCATATGAGTTTTACTAATTAATTACGAGCTGTTACGTTAGGGTTGTGAGTAAAAATTTATAAAAAATGGTTGTTGATGTAATATTACTCTAAAAACCACTAATAGATGTTTATTATCACGTGCATTAATACTTAAAAGAGGCGTGAGAGTTTTCTCCTCAAAATTCATATCAAAATTAGTTATTAAGCACATTAGCAAAATGATTTTGTCATCCCTTTGGTAGTCTTGTTAACTAAACACATCGACAACAAGAAGACATAAAATATATTAAGAAAGTTGTTTACTTGAAGGGGTCTGTTTATTACAAATAAATATTACATATATTTCTTCAAAGAGGAGGATCTAAAAGAGAAATATCTAACATGGTCTCCCAAGTTTAAGTCTCCACGATTGTTAATAGGAGTGATCACTGGAGTTCTTACCCGACCGATAGTTATAGGATCCCGAGAGATTAGTTGAGGTACGCATAAATTGATATAGAACCCTTGTCATTAAAAATAATAATAATAATAATGACTTATACCATCTATTTAATATTTAGAGTCCGTTTGTTTTATTATTTTGGATATGATTTTTGATATTTTTAGAGTTGAGAGAGAATAACGAGGTAGGATTTGAAAATTAACAAAAACACCCATCTAGGTTTTTAATTTACTAAACACCCTAATATATAAAAATTTTATAAAATGACAAAAATACCCCCACCCACAGTTGCCAGATTCCGGCCACCACCATCGGAATCTTGCCTTACGGTTGGGTCTGGCTGTTCGTGTACTGATATGGCCTTTTCCGACTAGATCCACCACGAATCTGGTTGAAAAAGGCTAGATCTATAGTCATTTCTGGCCATCGACGGCCAGATCTGGCCGTCACCGTCGGCCAAAGATATGGTTGTCGTTGATGACCAGCTATCACCAGATCTTTGGCCGTGGATCTGGTCGAAAAATGATAGATCCTCACACTACCGGTCAGATCCAGCCGGTAGTTTGCTATTATACCAGATTTCTGCCACCTTCTGACGGTGTTGGTCGGAATCTGACAAATATGGGTGGGTGTGGGTGTTTTTGTTAATTTTTAAACTTTTTTTCTGAGAATGTTTAATTAAATTAATAAACTTAAGGGATTTAAAAATAATTGAAGAAAATATAATAGTATTTTGAAGATAATAAAACAAACAGTTATTTTAAAGATATGACTGAGAATAGGATATAAAATATGGAAACCAACAGACCCTATACATTTAACAAATAGTTTAGTTTGTTTAAATAAACACAGGTCATATATTTAAATTTCTCTCAATCATCATGATTTTTAGGAAAAAAATGTATGGTTAAAATCTTCTTTCTTGTGGTCAGGTGTTATGTGAGGAAGGAAGACGTAGACAATTAGGAATGAGCAATGCAGGGCTTCGCTTTCTAGTTTCCAATATTGTTGTGATCAGGTGTTATGTGAGGAAGGAAGACGTAGACAATTAGGAATGAGCAATGCAGGGCTTCGCTTTCTAGTTTCCAATATTGTTGTGATCAGGTGTTATGTGAGGAAGGAAGAAGAGGTAGACAATTAGTAGTGAGCAATGTAGGGCTTCGCTTTCTAGTCTCTAGTTTCTAGTTTCCAACATTGCTGATGCAGCAACGCCTATTATAAAACCGAAATAACTTGTATTTTTGTTATTAATTTAGAGTAAACTACTTCTTCCCACCCAAAGTTTGCCTTAATGACACTTTACATCCAAAAAGTTTCAAAACACCACTTTTCCACCTAACGTTTATATTATATTAATACCTAAAATATACTTTATTTTCTCAACGGGCATACGACAAGTTATTAGGAGCCAGGATAAGAGGTTTTGATAGAGTGGAGGCTGGTGGATGAATGGTGGTGACTGACGAATATTCGTCATCGGAATCAGCCAAAAATCATCAAAGAACATGAAACCCTAAATTTGTGGTAGCGAACAATCAGTGAAAAATTAAGTACCAGAGTAAGAGGGGTTTTATATAGAGGAGACCAAAGGTTTAAATGATGGTGACAAAGAGAATTTTCTCCACCAGAATTAGCTTTAAGTAGTGATGGAATATTAACTTTGGGTTGGAAAATGGTATTTTAAAACTTTTTGAATGGAAAAGGGTCATTAAGGCAAACATTGGGTGGGAAAAAGTCGTTTACTCTATTAATTTATTGTTAATTTATCTAAGAAACACAGGATATTTATAACCGCTTGATCCTGATTATTGATAGAACATCTTATCTTCTACTTGATTCTTGTTTATTTAAGATTAAAAATTTCTTTGCAACAAAATTTAATAGATGACCAACGGAATTGTACTTAGCCTAAGAATGTGGAACGATTTATTTTATTTGATTTTATCGTGATTATATTAAAGTAACAATATAATTAAGGTAGCAATATAATTAAGGTACAATAAATTAATGCCCAAGTTCGGCGTATTTGTCCAATTTCTCGAGCAGCGGTTTTGGCGGCCTGGAAGATGCATGAGCTACAGTAATTGCATTAAAACCACAAAACATACTACACTAATAACTCTCTTTCACAATTCTGACATGTCATCTCGTAATTAGTTAGTTTACAACAGGTCTCATATAGATCCCACTAATTAATTACGAATTGTTACGTTAGAGTTGTGAGTAAAAATTTATGAGAAATGGTTGTTGGTGTAGTATTACTCTAAAAACCACTAATCGATGTAATATTATCACGTGCACTAATACTTAAAAGAGGCGTGAGAGTTTTCTCCTCAAAATTCATATCAAAATTAGTTATTAAGCACATTAACAAAATGATTGTATCATCCCTTCCGTAGTCTTGTTAACTAAACTTACAAATAAATATTACATATATTTCTCGAAAGAGGAGGATCTAATATGATTACCCAAGTTTGAGTACCCTTGAGGGTAAAAGAGTAAGAGAAAGATCTAACATGGTCTCCTGAGTTCAAGTCTCCACAATCGTTAATAGGGGTGATCACTAGAGTTTTTACTCGACCGATAGTTCTAGGATCCCGAGAGATTAGTTGAGGTACACATAAATTGACCCAGAACCCTTGTCATAAAATAATAATAATAATAATTACGTATACCATCTATTTAATAATTAGGGTCCGTTTGTTTTATTATTTTGAATAAGATTTTTAATATTTTTAGAGTTGGATGAGAATAACGAGTAGGATTTGAAAATTAACAAAAACAACCCTCTAGGTTTGCTAATTTACTAAATACCCCAATATATAAAAATTTTATAAAATGACAAAAATACCCTTACCCACAGTTGCCAGATTCCAGCCACCACTGCTGAAATCTGGTGTTACGACGCACGAACGACCGGATCTGGCTGTTCGTGTACCGATATGGCATTTTCCGGCCAAATCCACCACGGATTTGGCCTTTTCCATTTTTA